TGGTCAATCAGGGTAGATGAGGCCTACACCCCTCTTAGTGCTTGATTCTAGGATTCCTGTTCCATCGGAGCAGAGGGACCCTCCTGAGGGAAGTCATGGTGAGAGCTTGGGATAAAGTGGGAGAGGATCTCCTGTCTTCTAGTTCCTGGGGCTGGAAGGCAGCTGTGCCCAAGGCCCACCTCCCAGCCCGTGGAAAAGTAAAACCTGGGTGGAGAGCGGTGACCTCCAGGAAAATACCCCATTCCTCCTCCCAGCCACGCTGCTTTGAAACAATGCTGGAGACAGAAATGGCTTTCCCCAGACCTTGAGTTGTCACAAACACACCTTTCCCTCCTCCAACGATGCATGCACACCCACAATAAAGACTTGTGTTATGCACAGCCCACGGTCAGCAAGGTTGCCCACGGCCCTAAACTACTGTCTACAGCATGCTCCTATTTACCCAATGGATACAGAGCGAGGCTGTAGTAGTTACTTTTCTAATGTGATAAAACACCATGACCAAGACGATTTATACAAGGAAGGGTTTACTTGGCTTACCGCTCCCGAGGGTTAAGAGTCTGGCGTGGCAGAGATGCGAAGCAACAAGCCACAGACTTGGAGGCAGAAGCAGAGAACTCATCTCGCAAGGCAGGCGCGCACAGCCAAGAGCGTTCGCCAGAAATTGCCCTCAAAGCCCGCCCCCAGTGACGTACTTCCTCCATCGAGGCCACACCTCCTAAACCTACTGCAAAAACAGCGCCACCAACTGAGGACCAAGTACTCAAGCAGCTGAGTCGGTGAGGGATATTTTCATTTAAGCCACCGGAGACCTTGCTGCCGCACACAGAGCTCACGTGAGAACGCTCAGGATGGAGATGACTTAGAGGCTTCCCGGCAGGACACCTGCAATGAGCATGAAAGCCACACAGTCAGCCACGGTCCTACACGATGTGCCTGAAGTGATCGCGGCGTGGAAGCAGCTGCCGCTGGGCTGCTGGAGTGCTAGGGTCTGAAGCGTGGGCATGAGCACTTAAGATGACAGGTGCCGGGAGGAGCAAGCGCTGAGGGCATGAGGGTGGGCGAGCGAAGATCCGCCAGCTGGACCATTGCATGCCAGAGAGATAAGTCAAGGCAGGGTCGCAAGCATGGCCAGTGGGAGGGATGGCAAGCGCCGGGCGCCATTAGTGAGCACTTTGGGGCATTCACCCAAGGCTCTGGATGAGATCGACAGCCAGGGAAGGGCTGAGAGCAAGGGCACCCCATTCACGTGAGCCGCAGGATCCGTGGGTCACTTCATACAGTCAGCCATCCTTACTTCTGCCTAGGATAGCATCACACGGAGCCAGCTTCTTCATGGCATCTACCTCTGAGGAATTTTCATACTTACCCCACAATTGTGGTGGCACCGTCAAACCTCCCCTGGGAACAGGTATACTTTTAAGTCCCCACGACCTGCATAGAGCCTGGCCCACAGCAGGTGCTCACTGAGTATAGAAAGCAAAAGATGGGCAAAATCCTGGGGGAGTTTCCCCCCTGGGATGGCTATTCTTGGTTGTCAACGTGACTACATCTGGAATTAACTAAAAAAATACAAGTCACTGGGCACACCTGGGAGGGATGTTTAGTTAATTGGATCATTTGAGGCAGGAAGACCCACCATAAATCCAGATCATTTGGGATCAGAAGACCCTCCCTAAACCTGGCCGCACCCTCTCATCCCAGCCTACATTAAGGACGTGGAAGAAAGCAGCTTTTGCTCACTACCTGCTTGCCCCTACTCCCGAGGCAAGTTCAGACACCCAATGGCTGAGGCCTTCCTTCACTGCCATTAGAGCCTCGTTTGGGATTCTGGTATACACCGAAGACCAGAGAGACATCCAGCCTTGTGGGCTGGACTCTTGGGCTGACTTTTCATTGAGAGACAGCCACTGCTGGACTAGCTGGACCACAGCCTGTGAACCTCTCTAATAAATCCCTGTAGGTAGGAAGGTAGGTAGGTAGGTAGGTAGACAGATAGATAGATACATAGATACATAGAAAGGTGATAGATAGATGATAGATAGATAGATAGATAGATAGATAGATAGATAGGTAGATAGACAGATAGACAGACAGATGATAGCTTCATCCTATCATTTCTGATCCTCTAGAGAACCCTTACTAGCACACTCCACACTGAGTCCTGCCTCTTCTGCTCTTTCTCTCTCCATGTCCCCACACCAGTGTCTACCCCTCCTGCAGAACCAGCTGGCCGTGGTCATGCTTATGCACGCACACACGAGACTGTCCTCTAAGTGATGGGCACAAGTGTTGCCCAGAGGGCAGACCTCCTTAAGGCAGGCAGCATTATCGGGCCAAGGACTTCTTTGTGCCCACCTAAGCGAGTCTCCAGGCCCTCCTCAAAGCCCCCTAGCTTGAACTCAGTGGGAAGTTCACACCCTGAGACAACTTGGGGTCAAGCTTCCCCCTTTTCCCAGTCATGCAATGTGACACACAGACTCAGTGGCAGAAGGGATATCACCCTTTTCTATGCCCTGTCTCCAAGAGACTCACACAGAAAGGACATAATGTACGCATGTAACAAACCAAAGATCAGAGTACACAGACTGAGGTAAACCCCTGGCACAGCTGGGCTCTAGTCTAACCCCAGAAGCTGAGAAACTTTGCCCCATATCTTCAGGGTCTGTAACTCTCAGCACTAAGCCAGTGAGTTGGTTCAGCAGTAAGCATTTGTGGCCAAGTCTGCTAACCCAAGTTCAATCCCTGGGACCCACAAGGAGAGAACTGACTTCCATCGGTTGTCTTCTGACCTCCATACGTAGGCTATGGCGTTTGTGTGTCTACACACACACATAAATGTAATAAAAATATAAAAGTGAGCTCAGCACCTATAATCTTTAGAGCTGTCAGACCTCAACATACTATTGAGTCGATATAGTAGCACTAAATTTCCAGCAGTAAAAATGCTTTATATACTTTTGATAAAGTGTGGTAACTAAGAGATTCCCTTTGTAGGATTGAAGTGCATGCTTTTTATAAGGTATATGGTAGTCATTATTTAAGCCTTGCAATGGGCAGTTCTGTGGCCCAGAGGTTCTGTGTCTGAGAACTGGTCTAATTTTGGAAGACAGATTTCCAGCTTCAATGGCAAGAATATTTGTCACACGGCACCACTGATGATAATACATGGTGGCAAGCAGCCCAAGGGCCCAGCAGGGAGTGATCAGCTAAATCAATCATGGCATGTCTGTACAATCGGGTATTTGTTATCCAAAATAATGACAAAAAAAACAACAAAAATCTAAACTTCTGAGTGGTTACTCCTGTCAGGGACCACTCAACCGAACCCTAGACAGGAATCATTGCCCTTCTCTCTCATCATAATGAAAGTAGCTTCATTCCCATCTTACAGATGAGGAAAACTGAGGGCTAGAAGAAACATTTGCCCACAGCCACATGCTGGCTGACCATTTGAAGTCAAACAGACCTCCTAGCCACTATACTACATGGTTTCAAATGACACCATTTTTTAGAGCTATACAAAGCAAGACCAGCCCACAAAAAGCAGGTTATCTTTGCAGCTGGGTCTGAGCTGTGCATTTGCATTCAAACCCCGAAGATGGTGCTATTTTCACCTTGGTATAGACCTCTGAATGTATAAAATTGCCTGTTTTTCTTATTTTTATGAGGATAAACCCATGCTGTTGTACATGAAGAAAAGCAAATTTTAATTTTTAAAATAACATAAATGGCAAAAAAAATCACCTTGCATTCCCTCTGCTGACCCCAGTGTCCAGCTGCCCGCCTGACTTTAAGGCAGACACAATGGTGGACATGGGTTCTGCTTGCTCTTGGAGCACGGCTTCCCCTAGAGGCAACAAGCACTCTCCAAATGAGAAGAGAAAGCTCAGCCTCAGCACACTGACCAGCCAGATAACTATAGCCTCCAGCCCCAGCCGCCCCCCTGGATACTTGTACCCCTGGGAGCTGCCAGGCTAACACAGCACAGAGCAAGCTCTTGCCTGGGAGCCAAAGCCAGGCCTCCTTGAGCCTAAAGTGCATGGACCTGCTCTGGTTCTGTCAAAGCTGCCAGAATGGAGGAGTCTGAAGACAGCAGAGCAGCCCCACTCAGCAGCCAGATATCTAGGGACCCTGCTGGCTCAGCCAGCTGCTTCCTGGCTATAGACCCTTGGGTGGGCTGTCTCTTCCTCACTAAACCTGTTTCTGCACTGGCAAATGAAGAGCTTTAGAGTACCAATTTGAAGGAAAGCTATCCCACTCTGTGATATATAAGATATGTACCCAAGTAACTTTCTGTCTGAGCGCTGTGTCCCACACCCTGCCAACTGCCTTGTATGAACTGTGTGCTCCTCGCCGGTGCCTGTGACGGGTACTACAACAATGTACAGTTTTACAGATAGAAAAAATAAAGTCTTTTAATACAAAGTCACATGCTGGGGGGGCAGAGCAGAATTTCACCGACCACCATCTGATTTAACGCACACAAGCCGAGATAACCTCCATCCGGTTACCACAGTCATAGCTGCCCACTGAGCTCTCCTGACTTTAGAGATTATTATAATGTATGTGATGTGTACCCTGGGTTCTCGACAGCCAGACACGACACCAAGCCACAGACCCCTTCTAGGAGCTATGTAGTTCCCTCCCCTCCCCTCTCCACCGCCATCGCCGCACCCAGTGACCCAGTTATTAAAAGGTTACACAACCTGTGACAAGCCCCTAACTACACCTGGCCTTGAGCTGCTGGCCCAACAGAGACCCACACCCTGCAGGGCAGGCCTACTGGCACTCTCGCTAGGCACCTGTTGGAAGACTCTAGGATCTCAGCCAGACCTGGGACTCTCGGTGGCTTGGAACAATAAACCTGTGTGGCCTGAGAACTATCCCCAGGAAACAAAACCAGCACCCTTCCGCAAGCTGTGCACCCGGGTTGGCCTCTCCAGGGCAAGGCAGCGGCACCGAGGTCTGGGTGTGCAAGTGCGTAAAGGCGGACTTACTATGGAGCGAGAGGGTAGCGGATGTAAGTGTGTGCGTGTGCGCGCGCGTGGCTCCGAGTGTGCGCCGCTGTGATCGCGATGGAGCGGGCGGCAGGGCGGGCTGGGAGATCTCCTCCCCCCACCACATTGAGAAATCTTAGTGAGTCACCGAGTGGTTCTGCATATTAATGAGCTCGCTCTCGGAGAGGGCAGGAGCGAATTTAAAAGAGGCCAGGGTGGGCGGAGGGAGGCTGTGGGGAGATCGCAGCACCCAGCGCCAAGCGCAGCGCAGCACCGCGACAGACGGCAGGAGCTCCCACCGACGGGCGCAGCTGGAGCGAGCGGAGCAGGGAGGCGTGCACTACACCGAGAACCGAGCCGGGCGGCATCCCCCGGCCGCCGCACGCACAGGCCGGCTCCCTCCTCGCGTCCCTGCTCCCCACTGCGCCGCTCCGGCCAGCATGAGGCTCCTGGCGGCCGCGCTGCTCCTGCTGCTCCTGGCGCTGTGCGCCTCGCGCGTGGACGGTGAGTGCCGCCGCGGGGGCCCTCTGTCGCCGTCCTGTCCCCTCTTAGGGAACCGGGGGTCCGGGGTGGGAGTCCCCGGCGGGCACCTAGGGCGGTAGCGGAGCCGAATACCCCTCTGGGGACTCAGCAGCCTGGCGGTGCTCTCCCGCAGGGTCCAAGTGTAAGTGTTCCCGGAAGGGGCCCAAGATCCGCTACAGCGACGTGAAGAAGCTGGAAATGAAGCCAAAGCACCCACACTGCGAGGAGAAGATGGTCATGTGAGTTCCGTGGCGGGACACAACCGGGGGCTGGATCGGGCCGATACGCCTTTCTCTCTACCTCTGCCAAGGCCCTGGGGAGCAGTTTATAATTGTCTGGCAAGCCCTCGGGACATTGCTCGACAGTCTGGAAAGGGGGTCTGTGGCCGGTCCCTCTGAGCCTGCCCTTGTTAGGATTCAAACTGACGGCAGGCTGGAGCTTACTGTGGGCTGGTAGGTAGTTCTGGTGCGCCCACTTGGAACATCTACACAAGATCATTCAGGACACAGGGCCAGCCTGCCGGGCGGGCTGTGCTGCCTTCCTCTTACTGAAGAGAGAAGTAACAGAACCTTGTCTTTAGTCGAAACTTTCTTTTCAGAGCCTCTCTTCAGTCAGGGGTTTGGCCACAGGGGTGGACAGTTGGGGAGTCTGGGATCTCATCGTGAGAGTACTCCTGTCTCTTCCTCCAGCAGCCGGGCTCCTTGTGGGTTCGTGAGTATGAACAGTGCTGGAGAAAATGCTCTCCTGGGGTTAATGTGGCATGCCACCACTGCAGCTGCTTGGTGGGGATGCCGGCAAAGTCTTTAAAACTGGGGCAGAGAGAGAACACTGAGTTTCCTTGCGCCTCAAGCCTTCCCAATTAACCACTTGAAGCCGGCACGGCAGGCCGTTTCTCCAGCAGTACGCTCTTGGCCAGGAAGGCAGCCCTTGGCAAAACAGCTCCTAAATATTTGCCATGGACCATTGGCCCCTCTTCCCCTCCCCCAGAAACAGGACACACTTTATTCTCAGTCTGGGCAAGTGCCTTCCACCGCTGCCCTTGCCGCCCGCCCGGAGGCCTTCGGGCAGTGTCAGTGAAGGAAGAGCACACCCCACCGGGCACCTCACAACTTGCTCAAGTTCGGGGAAGATCGGGCCGAGCTGACCCGAGCTGAGCTTCCAGATTAACCTCCTCATACTGCCGGGTTTCTTGCAGGGCAGACAAAGGGAAACTACCCTTTTAGGTGTGGACTGGCTCAGAGTTAATAGAGACATGACAGGCGTCACATAACCTCAGAATTTCTAGTTTCCGGGTTCAGAAAAGTTAGAGATTTCCAGTTGTCTCTCAGACCTCCAGGGACAAAAAAAAAAAAAAAAAAAAAAAAAAAAAAGAAAAAAGAAAAAAAAGTGCAGGGTGCATCGGCAGCTCAAAGAGACAGACTGGGCCCCAGACAGCCTTGTTCTTTCCTTGAGTAAGCTCGGGTGCAGAGGGAACCTGCAGCCACACAAGTGCACCGGAAGGCTTCCTGTAGCCTTGGGAAAATTTGGAGGGGCCTCAGGAGACCAGCACCTTCCTAGGCCTCCCTCTCCACCCCATCCTTGACAGCCTGAAGGCTCCTCCCCCTTGTATCAGACAAGGGACTTGCACTTTTTGCCAAAACAGTGCCACAAAGACTGAAGGCAAGTTCTCCAGGTCACCCCGAGTCACCCAGAGACCTCTGCTGGGGGCGGTGTGGATCAGAGGGAGTCAGGAATATGGGAAAGCCCGGATTCCTTTAAAAAAAAATATGTATAACTTGCACCAGGTGTATCCCAGGAACCAAACACGGATCCAGGCTAGGTGACAGGACACTTACCTACTGAGCCATCTTGTCAACCCAAGCCCAGCTTCTTGAAGGACAATTTGTGTCATATGTCCTTGGAGTTCTCACCCAAACCATTGGCACCCCAGGGTTGCTGCAACCCAAAATTTCTGGTAGCTATTGGGTCTTGAATCCCAGCTTCTGCACCCTGCTGCTGATTTGCATAACTGCAGTATTCTAAACAGCCAGCGCTGGTGGGGTGGGGGTGGGGAGCTGAACTCTCCCGTGCCCTCCCTGACCTTCAGAAGTGGGATGGGATATTAAGTCTACCCTCTGGCCTATGGAGAAAGGGCTTTTTACTGGAGTTTGCCCCTCGGGCAACAGCAGCATTATGGGTGTGGAGGAAATATGGGCACTAATTCTGCAGGGTGGCAGAGGTGTAGAGGGAGGGCCCCATGCTTGGAGCCTGCAAGGATCCACCTGTCTCCAGTGAAGGGGGATCCAATTACCTGGTAGTATCAAATGTCCATCCCTGGTCTTGGATGAGGTCGCACAGGCTCCTGAAGCAGCATTCTGCCCCCATTCTGCTGGCGAGACTGTTTTCTGTCCCTACAGACTGGGAGCTCGTGTTCACAGCAACCCTGCCCTCTTCTAGAACCCCCCACTCTTCTCCTTGGGGACCAGGTGGAGAACAGCCTGACCTCCCCAGCCATCCGTGACCCCTCAGAAAATCAGGTCTCCACTTTGTATGTTCCAAGTGGACCCTCATTCCCCACCATAGTACATCTTCCCCTTCCCAGAAGTTTCCTGCAACTCCCACCATCCCCCTGGTCACCCTGGCTGGCAAAGGTACCTCAGACCACCCAGGCCTGAGGTCACACATGAAGCTCGTCATCCTCCTGACTGCCTCGTCTTTCCTGACTAATTAGTAATAACAGTGGTCACTGGACGCCCACCAAGGGCTGGGCACCGCCTCCCTGGTACCTTTTGCTCCTTCAGTGTCCCTGTGAGGGAGGGCCCTCTGTTGTACCTGTTGAGCGGGCACTCACAGCTTACAGGGATCCAGACTCCGCTGACAATCTCGGCACCGGACCTGCTTCTCCGGCACAGCTGGGCAGGCTCCGTGGACTTGGAGCTTTGGCTGAGAGAGGCCAGGAGAAGGACTGTCTTATTTTCCTGCCCCCAGCTCAGATAACTGCAGCCTCACGCTCAAGCGTCAAACTGGGCTACCAGACCAACAAGACCCTTGCTCCAGATCAGCAGATGTCCAGCCCAGGGACAACGGCACAGGGTCTGGGTGCTGGGTTAAGGGTCAGACACTATGGTGTATCCAGGGCATGTCTCAGCCCTCTGTAGAGTTCCTCAATCCAAGGATGGTACTGTTGCTAGCACCTTCCAGCAGGGGTTCTATCTACCTCTGAACCACTGGAAGACCCCTCTAGCCACTGGTCCCCAAGAGAGCCTGTGCTGGGGATCACAGACCGCTGGGTGCTGTGGGGGGTAGGAGCCCCCAAGGGAAAAGTGAAACTCACTCTGTACAGGCTAAGCGCCCCCACCCCAACCCCGTCATGGAGGCTGAGACACAAAACGTTAAAAGGCTGACCTGGGATTGAGCACGTGAAACTTGAGGGAGGGGCGGGGCCGCTTGGTGCTCTGGTGTGGTCCCTGCAGGCTATGACTGAGACATCTGAATCTGTACGGGTCCTGCTCCGTTTCAGCATCACCACCAAGAGTATGTCCAGGTACCGGGGCCAGGAGCACTGTCTGCATCCCAAGCTGCAGAGTACCAAACGTTTCATCAAATGGTACAACGCCTGGAACGAGAAACGCAGGTACAACATCTCTTCTCACCTGCCCAGGCCCCGCCCACCCCTGTCCTGCGCATTCTCACTACCCCAAGCCCTGCCCACCCCACCTATCCCCTGCCTGCCCCACCCAGAAGGGCTTGGCTATTATTAGCTATGGCTTTCAGGACAAGAAGGGACCCATACACCATTTCATCTACTAGCCTCATCTGATGTGTGATGCCCACAAAAGTAGACACTCCGACACCGTTTCCATCCCCCGATGATGGGAAGCTCACCACGCTCTCTGGGCAGTTATGAGCACTGCAGGTGTATCCCTTAGTGAGCTAAAATCTGCCTCATTCGAACTCTCGTATTATAGTCCTTTGTATTTCTATAAAGACTTGTTTTTAATCTTGTATATGGGTACCAGGCCTGTGTGTACATTTGTGTGCACTCTCCATGCCTGGTGCCCAAGGACTTCAAAAGGACTTCTCTCTCTCTCTCTCTCTCTCTCTCTCTCTCTCTCTCTCTCTCTCTCTCTCTCTCTCTCTCTCTCTCTCTCTCTCTCTCACACACACACACACACACACACACACCCTGCAGTTATAAATGGCTGTGAGCCTCCATGTGGGTGTCAGGGCCTCTACAGGAACACCAATGCTTTTTAACTGTTGAGCCGTCCCTCCGGCCCCTAACTTACATGCTGTGGTCTTAATTGCTCTTTTTACTTAAGTCACATGATCTGAAAGTGGCTGGGTGGGCACCAAGGTGCCCCAAACCCTGTTCTTCCCTGACACCTTCTCAGGCAGGTTCTGGGGGCTGCTTGAGTTCAGCCCTGACCAATCAGGACCACTTTACCCAGAGGGGCAGCAGTTCAGATCAGCACCTTGGGCCAGACACCTCTGCCAGGTGGGCAGTTTCCTCATCATCAGAAGGGGGCTTCCTAGTTCTAATCTTGGGGTCCCCAGGTCTGGCCTTTGTACCATGTGACGACAAGCCTGTCCTGGAGCAGACCGCTGCTCAAACACCTGAGACCTGTTCTCTCTGCAAAGCAAACCTGGGAAAGGACACCTGCTTGGGTGACCTCCAAGGATCTCAGTACCTTGTCCTAAGAGGGGGCAACCAAGACCAGGCGGGGACAGGGTGTGGCTTGGACAGCACCTGGAAAAGTCATGACAAGAGGCCAGAACCCTGTGGGGTGTGTGGGTCCCTGGTGCCGCCTGTCCCAACATGTGGGCTTGTGGCCAGCTCTCAGAGTCAGTTTCTGCACCTGAATCTTCTCTTGCTCCGTCCAAAACTGCCTCATCTGCAATGGCCTGAAATAGAAAGTGGCGAGGCGAGCGACTATTCCCATCGTATCTGATGGGAGTGACGCCTGGTTCTGGTCAGAGCATGCAGTTCACATGGCGAAAGCAGAGCCTGCCCCACCCACCCCCTGCCACCGTCCAGGCCTGTGTCATCAAGAGACTGCAGGGTTAGCTTGTGGAGGGCTGGGAAGTCTTGCCCAGGCTACTGGAGACACTCTACCCACCTTACTTCCTCCACCTGGGCCGTGTCTGTGACCATGAGGCACCTGTGAGCATCCCACAGCCCCCCACAACCCTACCTTTCTACTTTTGTAAATTGCCCTCATGAAGGCTGTGAGAGCTCTCTGCTACAAGGCCTCTGCCAGTTTGCTACATCAAGAGTTCAGGCATTGGGGGTTGGCATGGAACGGGGGCACTATTTGCATGTTTGTATATTATTTGTTTGTTGAGACAAGGTCTCACATAGCCCAGGCTAGTGTCAACTCAACCTCCAAGCAAAGGATGACTTGGAACCGTGAATCCTGATCCCTCCACCTCTGAAGTGTTGGGGTTATGTGATTACAAGCCTAGCAGTTCTGAATTCATCCATTTTTTTTTTCAGGAGACTGGGGCATCCCAGAATAGGAGACCTCCATGCCTGCCTTTTCCCTTTCTACCCCTTCCCTTGTGAAGGGTTAAAAATGACCTAATAAATATAGGTGGAGATAAAAGAACTGCTCAAAGTCAGAGGGAGAACAAACATACATGCTCGATAGCTCAGGGCGGAGGGAAGACAAGGATGTATAACAGGGCTGGGCCCCCTGGTCCATGGCACCAGTAAGTGAGCAAAGAGACCCTTAGAGATCAGAATCTCTGGCTGTCATGTGAGGCAGCTACATGGAGCATCTCTGTTTCATTGGTGTGTGTGTGTCCGCGTGTCTTGTGAGTGCAGGTGCCCGAGGCAGCCAGACGAGGGCTTTGGATCCCCGGGAGCTGGAGTTACAGGTGTTGGTGAGCCACCTGATGTGGGTGCCAGGAACTGAACTTGGGTGCTCTGGCAGAGCAGTGACGGGTCTTGGGTACCATCTCCCCAGGCCCAAGGCACTTTATTTCAACGCATGATTGGGGGATTTCACTTGGAAGCCAAGAGCGAGGAAAGAGGAGCAGCGAGCTAAGTAAGACCCATGGCCCAGAGCTGGGATGGCAGGTGTGAGGGAGGGAGCACACCCACCCTTGTGTGAGTCTTCTCATTGGCTTCAATCACACCCTCACAGCTATCTCCTCTCTCCTGGACCCAGGGGGGCCACAGACGAAGCCACAAGTAAGTGGTCTGCACAGAGTCCTGAGCCGCTGACAACGATGTCCTCTCTTCCTAGGGTCTACGAAGAGTAGAGTGACCGATCTCGGGAAGAAAAACTCCAGGCCAGTTGAAAGACTTCAGCAGAGGACTTTGCAGATTCAAATAAAAGCCCTTTCTTTCTCACAAGCATAAGACAAATTATATACTGCTACGAAGCTCCTCTTACCAGGGTCACTTTTTACATTTTATAGCTCTGTGAAAGGCTTCCAGATGTGAGACCCAGCTCTCCTGCGCTCCAGACTTCATTTCCAGTGGCTTTTTGCCGAAAGGGGGTGGGGGGCAACTCAAGCCTTTCCTTTTTAAAATAAGGGGTTTTGTATTTGTCCATATGTCACCACACATCTGAGCTTTATAAGCGCCTGCAAGGAGCAATGAGCTTGGTTGAGGCATTTCATTGCACCATTGCTCCGGTTCAGGCTTGCGAAGCTTCCGCTCAGAGGGCCCGGCACCTCGGCACAGCTGCCACGGGCTCTCCTGGGCTTATAACTGGTCAGGGTTTCAGTGATCCTGTTGTAGGGCAATTGGGAGCAGGTCCTTGGACATCTGTGCCTGGAGAAACTCAGTCTAGTTACCATAATACGCTTCATCCCACCCGCACCCCAGATCACGGTCCTGCAAGCAATCCCTAAAGGAGCTGGGTCTTTCTTCCAACCTGAAGAAAGTTTCTGCGGCTTCGGTAGACCATGCTTCTGAGGCGTGGCGAGTTCCTGGCACTGTGAGTAAACAACCCAAAGAGGAAACGGAAAGATTCACAGCACACAGCCCGAGCTACACAAACCATTGGCAAGGGGAAACTTTGTTTCTTTCCCTCAAGCCCAACAGAAAGCACACTCCCCTCCAGTGCAGGCGCAAAGGGCGCAGTCCTCTCCGGGAGTTAGGAGTTAGGATGTTTTGAGCCCTCCCCGGTGTACATACCGCCTTCTGTGCGCCCTGCAGCGCACACCACCCTCCAGTAGAGGCCGCACTCACACTCTGCGGCTGTTCCTTTGCTATGTAAATGCTGAGAGCCATGAGCTGCATGCAGGGTTCATGTCCTTTCTAAGATGAAAAAGAAAGTAATAAAATATATTTGAAGTTACCAAATTTCCAGACTTCTGGTTTTTTTTTCTCTCTCTCTAAGCCACATAACATAAAATGTTTGCCTCCTCCTAAATAGATGGGCACACATGTGTGGGAGAGAAGTCAACAGTCTCTATGGAATGTGTGGGGCTGCTGCTCTTCTGGAAGCCAGGAGGCTAAGCCTGGAGGCTTAGTGCCCCCCTTCCCCCCAGCGCACTTCACTGCAGCAGGTTGGTGGGAGTAGGCAGGCAGAGGCTTGCAGGACTGGAGAATCACAAGGATGAAGCAGTCCAAGATGGCTTGGGGTCTGCCTCGATTAAGAGAGTCTCCGTTATTATCACACTCTTCCTGTGGCTGGATGGCCACCTTTCCACGGGGGCTGGGAGCCATGACTCCTCAGCCCCACTGTCCCCATAGTAAGCCTAACCCAAAGACGGAGGCCAATAGACATGCAAAGTAGGGGAACCCCCTTGGAAAGTCACATGCCAGAGTAGGGACGAAAGAGGACAGGTTCCACCTCCCAGAGGCCCCAGAGCCTGCTTGGTCTTGGAGTAGCTCCAACAGAGCCTCCCAAGTGAGGAGCCTGTGGAGAGCAGTGTCTAGGAAGGGCCCGGCTCCGTGGCAGACCTCCTTCTCTCAGCTGGCAGCATGGAGTCCTGCGCGCCCTCGATGTCCCGTGTTCTAGACTCACTTTGCCCTCCTACGCGCTCTAAAGCCCTACAACTCCTCACACTCGCGCCAGCAAAGGGCCCGCCCTGGCCGTTAGATTCCCAGTAGAGCTGGCTACATGGTCTGCTCCTGGTTCAAATGAACCTTTATGTAAGAATAACTAATTTGCTATGTGTCTTAAATGGGGTATTTTGAGTGTTTTCAGCATAAGGAAACAGTTCCTGTTTGAGGTAATGGATATGATAATTACCCCGGTCTGATTATTATGCGTAGTACCCATGTATGGAAATCATCACACGGTACTGCATGAATATGCACAGTTCATTTCTGTCAATTTAAAAAATGTTTGAGCGACAAAAAAATGAAAAATGGCAAGTTTCAAAATGGCAGCAGTAGAACATTAAACCCAGCATGGGTCCTTCCTAGACAGGCCCAGGGTAACTCAGTGCTGCAAGCCCCAAAGACAGCCTATCTCCAGTGTCAGCTTCAATACCCATCTGAATGATTCATTGACCTCGAATTACTACAGGATGTGCTCTGTAATGCAGCTGTTTTGAATGTCTAGTGAGATGTGTTCTCAGAGGCCAGGGATTATCTCATACTCATCTTTGTTTAAAACCTCCCCAAATCTGTGTGTAGCATGCTCCATTGCCTCCTTATACAACTTAGAACTACCTGCCTCGGGATGGCGCCTCTGACAGCGGTGAATAACACACCCGTCCCCCCGTCCCCCCCCCGCCTCCCTGGTTAGCAAGCTACAGGAGGGGGCCAGTCAGCTGCTTCGGCTTCCTGCCTCCGGGTGTCTGCCTTCACTCCATCAGTGACGACCTGCAGCCTGTAAGCTAAAGTCATCGCTTTGCTCCCTGGAATTGCTCTGGGGAACGGTATTTACCACAGCTTTGGAGAGTCAAACTCGGACATCGCCTCTTTCCCTTAAAGGAGGCGCTTTCAGCCTCTCCCCTGGTGTTTGTATCAGTCATGACTGCTATACACTGGGGGGTCTTTACTAAGTAGAGTAAGAGTTACTCAAGCACCACAGCACTACGGGGGCTGATCCGATAACCAAGTGACTGCTGATCGACAGAAGGGCAGGGCACACAGCACGGACTCACCGGACAAAAGGGCCCCTCGTGTCCCTGAAAGCTACAACATATCGTCGTGCTATTAAAATGGCCTACAATCTACGATACTGTTTATTTCTGGAATCTTCCACCATGACTGACCACAATTAACAAAACATCGGGCACTCAAAGCCCTGACGGTGAAACACGGCTGGCTAGGGGTTGGCATTCTGGCTTCAGGACCCTTTCCAGGAGTACTGAGCCACTGCTGTGTGCAGAACTGTGGGCCGAGACTCTGAGTGGGGATTAACTGCTGTGCCCCAGCGTGAGCTGCAGGAGACGGGAATCCCCACAGTAAGAGTAGTTTGAAAGCTAAAACGAGAGGGCAGAGGTGTTGACAGCGGGCGGGCAGCATCCTTCCTCCTGACGGAGGTTGATATAGATTCAAACTGGACTTGACAAAGAGAAACAGGGAAAAGGTGTTAGCGCTGGGGGGAGCTTTCAGAGCACAGGACCCCTGCACCTGAGATGGACTTACTGGTCGACCTCAGAAGGAAGGTTCTGCTTTACCCCGGACCTCTCCACCACTATAGGCAGACTCCGAGGGAGCTTTGGGAGATCCAGGCTCCTGTCACTTTTGGTGAGAGGCAGTGCAAAATTCCCATCCTCAACGAGGAGTCTCTCCAATAATGTTCTCTATGAGTTCAGGCTGTCCCCCCAATGAGGAGTCTCCCCAGTGTTCTCTAGAAGGTCAGGCTGTACCCCCAATGAGGAGTCTCCCCAGTGTTCTCTATGAGTTCAGGCTGCCCCCCAATGAGGAGTCTCCCCAGTGTTCTCTAGAAGGTCAGGCTGTACCCCCAATGAGGAGTCTCCCCAGTGTTCTCTGTGAGTTCAGGCTGCCCCCCAATGAGGAGTCTTCTCCCCAGTGTTCTCTGTGAGTTCAGGCTACCCCCCAATGAGGAGTCTTCTCCCCAGTGTTCTTGAGGAGGTCAGGCTGTCCCACAATGAGGAGTCTCCCCAATGTTCTCTATGAGTTCAGGCTGTCCCCCCATTGAGGAGTCTCCCCAGTGTTCTCTAGGAGGTCAGGCTGTCCTACCTCCAAAGCACTTCAGTCATGCATTAGGATTCACACGTTCCTCAGGTGCCTCTCCCACAAGGGCACCAACATGTGTGGATTAAGTGAATTAGTGATTTATTCTGAGTCACCAATAATGCTTTAGTGTGGACTTAGGAGAGAAGTAAAAGCACCTGTCCCCCTTGGAGTCAGCTAGCCAGTTCAGGTTTGAATTCTCCACTTCCTGCTTCTGTGTGCATGCCGCTCTCTCTGACACAGGTCTTCATTCTCCTTTTATTGGACACCACAGACACATCACATGGGGACAGAAACGGGACTCTTTATGGAAATACTTAACAGAATTTTACTAGGGATTAAGTCACTGGCCCTGACTGATCCAGATAACAAACAGAACAACAAATGGCATTGTTTATCAAACAGTATCCATAGACAGTATCCATAGATAGTATCCATAGACAGTATCCATAGACGGTATCCATAGACTGTCGCTTTCAACTTCTGGGCTTGCTGCTTTCAGCAAATGACACACATGCTTGGTCTGCGTGCAAAGAGGGGCCATGGAAGAGTACATAATAAGATCACAGGCACACATTTAGCTTGGGTTGTAAAAGTTGATTATATGGGAAACCCAAGGCTGGCTGGTTACATTGTTCTCTTAAAGGCAGATTAATAAACAAGCTGAGCACACAGTAGGACAGCAGTCCCAAGCCCACAGTAGGGCAGCAGTCTTAAGTGACCTCAAGGTGAACTATTAACTCTGGCTGTGAGGTAGGTCCAGCAAAGACCTAGGATGTAAGGAATATTACAGATCTTCATTCATCCACACAGGGAGGACCAGAGTTGGCCAGGTTGGTCCCTGTCCTCAGAGGCAGAATCCACTTATTCGTGGGCAGAGCCCCCGCTCCCTCATCTGACCACCGCTATGCCCTGCACTTGAGCTGCATGCTGGAGCTGCTTTGCTGTCTATGAGGCAAAGACACTGCCTAGACTGCATGTTGCTCTACGTACCATGCAACAGGGGCACACGGCAGGCTCTAGGGGCACCTCCAAAACAGTGCCTGTCCGAGGCTCAAAGGAGACGCCTGAGCCGGGGAAAACGGCAAGTTATTATGAAGCGCAAAGTACCGCCCCCACCCCCGCTCCGATGAGCTGTGACGAGACAGCTTAAGGGCATACAGTCCATCACAACAGGAAGGCGTGACGGCAGCAGAGCAAGCAGGGGCGGGTGAAACCCCCAAACTAGAACACCCCACGGGTGTAAACAAAGAAAAGGTTTATTTGGGGGGAATTCAAAGCTGCCATGGCTACCTCTCAGGGCAGTGAAAATAGCAAGAATGGGGCAGTTATGGGAGGGCGGGGGGGGGAGGGTCGGTCATGTTGCAGAGGGAGGAGGGTAAGTTAGATGGAACAGCCTGGAACTAACACGGGTATTTGATCTGTTGGACACTTGGTTGGCTTAACAGGGAACTAGATGCCCTAGAGGGGACTGTAGGACGGAGGAGAAAGTCATGAATTTTCCCTGCAGAGAGAAACCCCCTTTACAAGGTTTCTGAGGAAGGCTGATTTTAAGTAGCAACCCTTCTGCTTGCCAGAGTCCAGCCCCAGCTGAGCCAGACTGTCAGTCATGACACTGTCGTCACGACACTGTCAATGGCGCAGCTATCTTGAGGGGGGTTGGGACCTAACAAGCAGGAGCACGGGGCAGGGCGACATTTCATCCACTGTCGACAATCCGAGGGAGATGAAGACCATACTGAATCCTCTTTGTTTATGCTCAGCCCAGGACCCCAGATGGGACAGCGCCACCCATGTTCAAGGGCGTCTTCCCTTCTGATGTGGAATAATCCTCTTGTTCACTGCAAAGACTTGTCACTCCTATTGGTTTAATAAAACACTGATTGGCCAGTAGCCCGGCAGGAAGTATAGGCGGGGCTACCAGACTAGGAGAATTCTGGGTAGAGGAAGGCAGAGAAGGAGTCGCCAGTCAGATGCAGAGGAAGCAAGATGAAAACGCCATATCAAGAAAAAGTACCAAGCCACTTGGCTAAGAATTATGGGTTAATTTAAGTTGTAAGAGTTTGTTAGTAATAAACCCGAGCAATAGGCCAAACAGTGTATAATTAATATAAACCTCTGTGTGTGTCCATTTGGGACTGAACGGCTGCAGGACGGTGCAGGACAGAAAACCTGTCTACACCCTTCTCAGTCAAACCTCTCTA